GATCTTTACTTGTCCCCCAGTACTAAGCTGATCTTTATTAGTCCCCCAGTTCTAAGCTGATCTTTACTTGTACCCCAGTACTAAGCTACTAAGCTGATCTTTATTTGTCCCCCAGTACTAGGCTGATCTTTATTTGTCCCCCAGTACTAGGCTGATCTTTATTTGTCCCCCAGTACTGGGCTGATCTTTATTTGTTTCCCAGTACTAGGCTGATCTTTATTTGTCCCCCAGTACTGGGCTGATCTTTACTTGTCCCCCAGTACTAGGCTGATCTTTGTTTGTCCCCCAGTACTAGGCTGATCTCTATTTGTCCCCCAGTACTGGGCTGATCTTTATTTGTCCCCTAGTACTGGGCTGATCTTGTTTTGTCTCCCAGTACTAGGCTGATCTCTACTTGTCCCCCAATACTAGGCTGATCTTTATTTGTCCCCAGTACTAAGCTGATCTTTACTTGTACCCCAGTACTAAGCTGATCTCTATTTGTCCCCCAGTACTAAGCTGATCTTTATTTGTCCCCCAGTACTAAGCTGATCTTTATTTGTCCCCCAGTACTAGGCTGATCTTTATTTGTCCCCCAGTACTAGGCTGATCTTTATTTGTCCACCAGTACTTGGCTGATCTTGATTTGTCCCCCAGTACTAGGCTGATCTTTATTTGTCCCCCAGTAAAGCAATATGCTTCTTTGTTAATTTGTTATACCAGAGTTTTTCTATTGGCTAATAAGGGGGAGACATATGTTTTTGTTAAAAAAAAAAAAAATCTAGTTTTCTTAACACCTGAGCTTGATCTTCTACAGAAACCATGGAAACCACGTGAGCCATGGCCTGCAGAGGCTGGAGAGGCCCACTTCCTCATTGGGATGTGTCATATGGAACTGAAGCGATACCTCGACTCATTGGAAGCCTTCTCCAATGCCATTAAACTTGACTCCAGTTATGCAGAGGTTAGCCAAACTCAGAATTATATTCTTTGACCAAATTAGGAAGGGTGTTAATTTTTTTTTAACTGGTTGAAGCAGATTTAATGTGGTAATTTAAAGAATTTTTTTGTTGAAATAGGGTATCTTCATTATCAACAAGTTAAATCAAATGAAAGCATAAATACAAAACGAAAATCATTGTTATGGCAGAACAAAACTACTGTATTCCTTGACCAAAGCTCATTTATAAAATAATCTAACAATTGAAAAAAAACTTATCGACTTTGTGATACCATTGATACATTATATCTTTGAAACATGGTAATATTCAAATGTCTTCTGCTTTATATTTTAAAGTTATGTTTGAAATGTTATTATGTACCTCAGGCACTGTACCAGAGGGGTGTGGCCAGAACCAAACTGGGTATGTCTAAAGGGATACAGGACTTCAACAAGGCCCTTGCCATCAACCCAAAAATCTTTCAGGTAAATGTTGATTCCTTTCTAAAGCTCCTTTCTACATTTCTTTCCAAAGAGCTGCAAATTGCTCTCCAGAAGTGTTCCACACCTAGTTATATGTAGAATTATGTCCTCAATAGAAACGAGTAATAGACCAAAAATATTTCAAGACCTCTGATGATTCTTTTTGCACACAAAAAAAAAAAAAAAAAAATTTTATTAAGTATCTCTATAATGTTTTTAGGTTACCTGACCATAGGTCATGGTGACCTATGGTGATAGCCTTTTGTCCGTCGTCATCCGTTGTGCGTTAACTTTTCCTTGCGAACACGATAACTTCAGTAAATGTTAACCGAGTTTGATGAAACTTTGTAGGCAGCCATTTGAGGATTGACCTTCATTTTGACTGCGTTCATACTACCGTATACGCAGTCAAACTGAAGATCAATTCTTATATTTACATATTTTCGTACTATGATGGTACACTCAGAATAAAGCTAACTCCAATTCATTTGCTTTTATAATGGTACAAAGCCTGCGAGCAGCGATTGATCTCCAATGTTACCATTATGACGTCACAATGTTAATTACGTCATCAATAGGAAACAATGGTCTCCAAGGAATCTCACTGTGTATACGGTAATGGATACGCAGTCACGGTTTACACAGCTTCAATGGGAGCGAATGTAAATATATATCAATAAGATCTCGGACGAGTTCGAAAATGGGACTTATTCGACAGTAACTTACAGAGTTATTGCCCTTTGTAATAATATTATTATTGGACCTTGTGAACACGAGAACTAGAGTAAATGTTATCCGAGTTCGATGAAACTTTGTATGCAGCCATATATCAATAAGATCCCGGACAAGTTTGAAAATGGGAATTATTCGACAGTAACTTACAGAGTTATTGCCCTTTGTAATAATATTATTATTGGACCTTGTGAACATAACTTAAGTAATTATCAACCAAGTTTGATGAAACTTTGTATGAGGCCTTATGTCAATAAGATCTCGGATGAGTTGGAAAATGGGAATTATTCGACTGTAACTTACAGAGTTGTTGCCCTTTCTAATAATATTATTACACTATTTTGTATTGGACCTTGTGTTCACGATAACTTAAGTAAATATCAACCAATTTTGATGAAACTCTGTATGTAGCCATATATCAATAAGATCTCGGATGAGTTCAAAACTGGGAATTATTTGACCGGTAACTTACAGAGTTATTGCCCTTTGTAATAATATTATCATTGAACCTTGTAAACACGATTGGACCTGCAGTCTGTACTTGGCAACTGCTCCTTTATTAGTTAGTTCTTCATTATTCTATTTATTATTACAGACACCTGTGGTGTAATATAATAACAATTTATTTCTTTTGTGGCATTCTGGTGTTCTTTCTTTGTTGATAATTATTCTCAATCCTTGACCAAAAAAATATATACCACTCATGATTTTTTTTTTTAAATACATAATGGATTTATGGAATTTTGTTTGTTATGTCTTCAATCTTAGAGTTTTGAATCCTGTTCCCTTGCCATGTAGTGTATTCGTATTTAATCCTGTTCCCTTGCCGTGTAGTGTATTCCTATTTAATCCTGTTCCCTTGCCGTGTAGTGTATTCCTATTTAATCCTGTTCCCTTGCCATGTAGTGTATTCGTATTTGTGCTTGAAACGTATTCTGATTTAGAAGGTGTCTATACATTATGAGTACGAACAACTGGAGGACTTGTGCAAGTCTGCTAGTCTCGTCTGCGTTTGAATCGTTAGTCAATTTCACGCTTTTTATAGACCCTGTCGTCGAGAGCGCTAAGGTAGCAGCGCTGAGTACCGTAGAAATGGCTTGACCCTAAAAATAAAGGGCATGTCTCGGATAAACATGGATAGCAGATTCATCCTGCACAACACACCTACATATATTTATATATATTTATAAACTACATTTTGAATACGGTTTTTTTAGAAGAATGATTGTTTTTCCAAAAAGTGATTCCCCAGATTTGGGACTTGTGAAAACCATGATTACCACATCAAAAAACACCAAAATATGCAAAAATATCATGATTTTTAACCCAAAATTTGAACCACCCCCCCGCAAGTAGATTTGTTTTCCTTAAAACCTGTCTGAAATTAAATATCGCCTATTCGGTAACAGAAATACTCATGTTTAGCATAGGTCATTCCAGCGGATTTTTCACAATATTTACACATGTGCTGAGTACAAAAATAGACTACATGAAAAGCTAGCTTTTGTTGTGTAGACACAGATTTGTAAATGCCCAAAACTGTAGTCTCAAACCAAATTCGATTTTTGTTTTGGAAAAATTATGAAGCCCACATAGTCCAATTAATGTTTATGCCAATTTTAGTGCTGATTTTTTTTTTTTAATTTGATACATGTTATATTACAGGGGTTATTCATTGTATAAAAATATCACCCATGGCCACCATACGCTACTGTACTCTGCTACCTAATGTGGAGTTCCTTTTCACGTGAATTGTTCTTGAAGTGACAAATGATCACACGTGATACAGTGATGGTCAGCCTACAGTAAGCTCCGTACTGTACTGCTATCGTGGTCGTCGGTTCCACGTTTTAAAAACAATCCTAGATAATCTAAGTCCTAGCTTACATCTCAAAAGCCCTGGGGGAAAAAATATACACATTAGTGTAATTCGAAGTAAATACAGCAATAAACATAGGTCACGAGGCGTGTATAACATTTCATCCGCCATTACTGATAACAACAGTGGCTTGCATCAACACTTCGTGCATGCGCAATGCTTACTTTGAAGGCAAATTTCAAAGTGTCCCTTAATAATCAGAGGACAAGTAGACATAATCTGAAAGTGCTGAATACATCAGGTTTCCCTAACTTATCCAATGGTTTTTGAATAGTTAAGAGAAAATGAGCATATTCAGCACTTTGATATCACTAGTGCAATCAGTAATTGATCAATAATTAATAATTGATTAATAATCGATAACTGATCAATAATTGATAACTAATCAATTGATAATTGATCAATCATTAATCGATGACCAATCAATAATAAAATGCAATCAATGATCAATTATTGATCAATAATCAATACCTGATTAATTAAACCTTAAGCAATGATCCACAACCTATCAAACATCAACAACCCATATCAATGATCAAATACCCAATGCTTAATTGGAAAGTTAAAGCCTGTTTTCATACCTTTCCTGAGCAGGTGTACCCATGCTCAAACTTCACCAGCAGGCCTAACAAAACAGATATATAATAGGGAATTGTCTGGTGTCAAAAACATGTTGATGGAACAAATAATTAAGAGGAAAGGAGTTTGAACTTGCATACATAAACCCATTAAATATTGTACATCGTATGGTGGGCACCAAGATCCCACTGAGATCTCTTCTTGAAATAATTATATTTTCTCTAATACTGGATCTTGATTTAGGTGTAGGACAATAATAACATGACCCATCGAGCTACGAGCCCATTGGGCTCTTGTTTTTTCAATCATTAAAACAGTTTAATTTGAACTAGTTGCAACATATATGACACCATTAAGGTTGTAGAAATTCATCGTTGAATCGATGAATCAATTTACAGTCCATGATACGGTTCATGATACAGAAAGATTCAAATCGATACTTGAATTTTTAGAAAATAGAGTTTAATCTGTTATGTAATCAAAATTATTAATCACAGTTTCATCAACAAAAATACATAACGGTTTACTGCCAACATATTATCCCATCGGTAACTGCTTAAATATTGTGTTTTATCAGTGTTTATAAAATGGTTAGGGCAAGTTTCAACATCCATGGGCTAAGTTTTGAACATTTGGTCTGATGTGTGAAAGCATTTCAAATTTTTCGGTATAATACCTCAATTGCTAGTACAAAGGCGATGATGGTTAGTGGCCATGAAGCCCGTCTTGCTAATTCAGGCCATCAGATTGCCACCAACTTCACTCCAAACTCTTTCCTGTAAAACATCAGATGGTGGGCTATTCAAATAACCCTTCGACCATTGTCTGTCCGTCCTTAAACGATTCTATTTATAGCTATTTTTTGAGAAGTACTTTATGGATCTTTCTCAAATTTCATATGTAGGGCCCCCTTGGTCCCTAGTTGTGCATAGTCTATTTTGGTACTGATCGGAAAACAAAATGGCCGACAGGCAGCCATCTTGGATTTTACAAGTCAAAGTTTGTTATCGCTATTTCTGGAGAAGTACTAAATGGATCTTTCTCAAATTTCGTATGTAGAGCCCGCTTGGTCCCTATTTGTGGAAAGTCCAATTTGGTACTGATTGGAAAACAAAATGGCCGACAGGCAGCCATCTTGGATTTTACAAGTCAAAGTTTGTTATCGCTATTTCTGGAGAAGTACTAAATGGATCTTTCTCAAATTTCATATGTAGGGCCCCCTTGGTCCCTATTTGTGGAAAGTCCAATTTGGTACTGATTGAAAAACAAAATGGCCGACAGGCAGCCATCTTGGATTTTACAAGTCAAAGTTTGTTATCGCTATTTCTGGAGAAGTACTAAATGGATCTTTCTCAAATTTCATATGTAGGTTCCTCTTGATCCCTATTTGTGGAAAGTCTAATTTGGTACTGATTGGAAAACAAAATGGCCAACAGGCAGCCATCTTGGATTTTACAAGTCAAAGTTTGTTATCGATATTTCTGGAGAAGTACTAGATGGATCTTTCTCAAATTTCATATACAGGTTCCTCTTGGTCCCTTGTTGTGCATAGTTTAATTTGGGACTGATCGCTAAAAAAAAAAAAAACTGGCCGAAAGATTGGTCCGGTATTCAAACTCATCCAAGATCCCATTGATACAAAGCTGCATACAAAGTTTCATCAAAATCGGTTCATATTTACTGAAGTTATTGTGTTCACAAGTAAAAATTAATGGACGATTCAGCAAGGTCACTCGGACCGACGAAAAGTATGAATTGGCCCCAGGATGACAGTCCTGATTTGAATCGGATGTCGGGTGACCGTTAAGGCCCATGGGCCTCTTGTTTAGCTCACCTGGCCCGAAGGTATAATTCTTCGGAATAACCAAAATGCCTAGGGTGATGATATTTGGCCATTAGCATGCTGGGATGAAGGGCTACAAAGTTTGTTCAAACAAATGACCTTCACCCATTTTCAAGGTCACAGGGGTCAAATATGTTTAAAACCTTTTAACAACTTCTCCTGAATACCCAAGAGGCCTAGGATAATGATATTTGACCAGTATCATGCTTGGATTAAGGGCTACCAGGTTTGTTCAAACAAATGACCTTCACCCATTTTAAAAGTCACAGGGGCCAAACATATTAAAAACGTTCAAACAACTTCTTCTGAATAACCAAAAGGCCTAGGATGATGATATTTTCTCAGTAGTTTTTTGGTATGAAGGGCTACCAAGTTCGTTCAAACAAATGACCTTCATCAAATTTCAAGGACACAGGGGTCAAATATGTTAAAATCTTTAAACAACTTCTTCTGAATAACCGAAATGCCAAGGGTGATGATATTTGGCCAGTAGCATCTTGGGATGAAGGGCTACCAAGTTTGTTCAAATGAATGACCTTCACTCATATTCAAGGTCACAGGGGTCAAATATGTTTACAACCTTTAAACAACATCTACTGAATAACTGAAAGGTCTAGGATTATGATATTTGGCCAGTAGCATGCTGGGATGAAGGGTTACCAAGTTTGTTCAAATAAATGACCTTCACTCACTTTCAAGGTCACAGGGGTCAATTGTTTAAAAAAACACTTTAAAACAACTCCTTCTGAATAACCAAGAGCCCAGGGTGATGATATTTGGCCAGTAGCATGCTGGGATGAAGGGCTACCAAGTTTGTTCAAATGAATGACCTTCACTCATATTCAAGGTCAAAGGGATTAAATATGTTAATATCTTTAAACAACTTCTTCTGAATAACCAAAAATCCTAGTGTGATGATATCTGGCCAGTAGCATGCTAGGATGAAAGGCTACCAAGTTAGTTAAAATTAATGACCTTGACCTGATTCAAGGTCATAGGGGTCAAATATGTTTAAAATCTTTAAACGCCCTTTTCTGAATAACCAAAGGCCTAGGGTGATGATATTGACCAGTAGTATGCTTGGATGAAGGGCTACAAAGTTTGTTTGAATAAATGATGTTTTATTATATTCAAGGTCACAAGGGTCAAATATATTTAAAATCTTTAAACGACATCCTCTGAAAAACCATGCAGCCCAGAATGATGATATTTTGCCATTAGCATGCTTAAATGAAGGGCTACCAAGTTTGTAAAATTAATTACTTTGAACTATACTCAATGTTACATGGGTGGGTCAAATATGTTTGAAAGCTTTAAATGGCTTCTTCTGAATAACCAAAAGTCCCAGAATGATGATATCTGGCTATTACCATGCTTGGATGAAGGGCTACCAAGCTTATTCAAATGAATGACCTTTACTTATATTCAAGGTCACAGGGGTCAAATTTGTTTAACCAGAATTTTGATATTTGGATGAAGGGCTATCAAGTCATTTGAATGACCTTGACCCACTTTCAATGTCACATTTGGTCAGATATGTAAATGACCTAACGTCATTAAACAAAAGGTCTAGGATGGTGAAATTTGGCAAGTTGCATGCTGAAATGAATGGCGTTAAAGTTTGTTCAACGTAATGACCTTATTTGAAAATCAAGGTCACATGGGTCAAATGATTTAAAATCTTTCAACAGGTTGTTTTGAATGACTTGTCATTAATACTGATATTTTGCCTGTAGCTTTATTTAACATCACTTTTAGGTTACAAGTGTGAGATTAATACCAGGTGAGTGATGCAGGCCCATTGGGCCTCTTGTTCATTTTCACAATTTCTTTTTAGGCATATTTAAGTCGAGCCTGTTACTATGGTCACAGAAAGAATTACACCAAGGCCATTTTGAATTGTAATGAGGCCATCAAGCTACAGACTCAGAGTGTGCGAGCTTTTCTTTACAGGTGAGCAACATTTAAGTAAAATAGAAAAGGACAATTTTAAAAACTCCAAAGCATTATGGGAATATGTCTTCCAATATGAAATATTGTATTTGACCTAACAAAGGCGTTTGCACTAATAAGAACGCCCCCACTCTTTTTCTGAAAAAAATTAACCAGCCTGATACTATGGAACTTGGTAATGACCAGTCATCTTCAATATTCTCTGAAAATTCACATAATAATTCCTAAATGCATTATTTAGGTAATAATAACAAAAAGTTTGAATCAAAGTCATATTACACGATAAACAGAAATGAATTAAAAAAACTTTTTGGTCGTTTCGGACATGAGAGGACAGTTTCTAAATATTTTCCTAAGGTTGGTAAGTATGGATTATGAAGAGATTCTTGTTACACAACCAATAAGTGGTCGTGTAACAAGAATCTCTTCATAATCCATAAGACGACCGGTTATCATGAATTGGTAAATAGATGGATTGGGAAAATTTACTGGCAAAATACTGGTTATCTGAGTTCTCTCAGATAGTATATGGCTTTCCTGTGTAAAATGCATGTTAAAATAATCAATATTGGCAGTTTGAATATGCTACAACAATGTCTTCTCAATAACCAAGAGCCATAGGGTGATGATACTTGGGATTAAGGGCTACCGTGTTTGTTCAACTGAATGACTTTGTTAGACTTTCAAGGACACTAAAGTGAATGTGTTAAAATATTGTAACAGGTTGTTTGGTGTGGTGTCTCTTAGCTTAGTTTCTTTGAGTAATTGGGATGGTGTAGCTTGCTGAAATCATTCCCCGCCATTAATAGATTGATGGCCCTTTGTTCTTGATTGATATAATATTTTGTCAGAGGGTGGAAAGAAATGGATTGCCTACAATAACTTGCCTTGTCTGTAGCTTTCTTCTAAAGTAGATCTTTTTTCAAAGTTGTCTTTTGCTCCAACAGTACTGACATCTTGATACAGTTAACGAAAAATTAACATCAGGAACTGTATTATAATCGTGCAGGACTCAAGTAAAAATATTAATATTATTTCCAAATATCTAATTCAGAAGCATGCATTTTCATTAAAAAGGTACAGATAATAGAACTTGTTTTGCTGACATTGAACTCTGACCTTTGACCCACAGAGGAGCTCTGAAGTATCACATCAAGGCATTTGACCTTGCGATCCAGGACCTTACCAAGGCCACCAGTATAGACAGTAGTTGTGCCCTTGGCTACTTCAACCGTGCTGTCTGTTACCAGGAGAAGAAGGATTACCAGCGGGTGAGTGGACAGTCGTCATTTCATTGCTTATGATACATGTGGTCAGTGTAATATCCTGCCCTTAATTGTTATAGGGAAACACGATTCAGATCTTTTTTCAAATTAATCGTGTTTTACTCGGGAATTTGTCCTCGTGAAACAAGATTAATCGTGGAGAAACAAAAAATCATAATGTTATAACTACTGTTATGCTGTGTTGTTATCACATAAAGCTTACTTATATCAACAATCTCATATTGCCTAGCATTATTATGACAGTTTTTAAGTCACAAGCACCATGGTTTAGCACTACAGCTATCTTCAATTTAGTGCTTTCGAAATTAAAGTGAAAATGTTATAACCACGAAAAGAAGTGTATGAATTCAAAGTGTACCTATCCTATATTCTGTTTCTTACCCAGGCCCTCACAGACTACGGAATTGTACTGTTGCTAGGAGATGACCTCAGATTACAGGTAACAAAGTTTTCTGGTTGGAGTAATTCTCACTTGTGAATGGAAAGGTCAAAATGTTGGGAAATATAAATAAGTTTCTGACGATGTCAGTTTTGCGGAGTTTGCAGAGAGTTGAGTAGTCATCTACAGGTGGTGCTATCTTTTGATTGCGTTAAATCTCTCTCTTCATCTGAAAGATCGATTTTCAGGTGAGAATTAATTTTGGCAAAGGTCCAGATAAAACCAAAGGAATTTTTTTTCCCCTTGCCTCTGATTGGTCAAAATTTAAATATTGTCTGATTTCATGAAATTTGGTATATTTGTATATCATAGGACACCGGTCACTTTCGTAAAATTTGGTATGTAGGTGTAGTATGGCAATACGAACACAACTGCGGTGTGCGTTTTGTGAAAAAACAAAATGGCTGCCATTTCCTGGCCTCTGATTGGTCAAAATTTAAATATTGTCTGATTTCATGAAATTTGGTATGTAGGTATATCATAGGACACCGGTCCCTTTCGTAAAATTTGGTATGTAGGTATAGTATGGCAATACGAACACAACTGCGGTGTTTGTTTTGTGAGAGAGAAAAAAATGGCTGCCATTTCCTGGCCTCTGATTGGTCAAAATTTAAATATTGTCTGATTTTCATGAAATTTGGTATGTATACAGGTATATCATGGGACACCATTCAATTTCGTAACCTGAGTTTCACATTTTGACAAAATGGCTGCCATTTCCTGGCCTTTGATTGGTCAAAATCACATCCAGTAATAACTTTTGTTCTGCATGATGGAACATAATGAAACCTGTCGGAAGGGATGGCAATGTGACAGCGCTCGTTTTTGACAAAAAATATTTCACTTCGGATTCAAAATGGCTTTTTGTCTGATTTTGATGATCTTTGGTATATCTGTGGTACTTAGCAGGGGAGGGGTGACTTACGCTATTGCTCGCAATGGCAATTTTCATTCTTCTTTCCTCTCCTTCTTCTTCTTCTTCCACGGTGAACTTGGGCGACCATTTCCTCGAAAACCGCAATGCATATCTTGATGAAACTTCACAGGATTAATGATGGGCATACATGTATGTAGTTGTGCATTCAAGTCTATATTTTTAGATCGTTGCCATTGCAACCACACAGCATGGAGGCTTTTGATTGGTCGAAATTTATATAGAGTTCGGTTTTGATGAAAATTGGTATTGGGAGACTGCAGATTCAACCGCATAGCTTTCGTTTGCCATTACAACCACATAGCAATCAAACAGAGGCTTCTGATTGGTCGAAATTTAGATATGTTTAATTTTTATGAAAATTGGTATATAGGGGTATTAAGGGACTGTGCATTCAACCGCATAGGTTTCGTTGCCATTTAGCAACCATATAGCAACCACCAGAGGCTTCTGATTGTTGGAAATTTAAATATTGTTTAATTTTTATGAAAATTGTTATATAGGGGTATTAGGGGACTGCAAATTCAACTGCCTAGGTTTTGTTGCCATACCAACCACATGGAGGCTTCGGATTGGTTGATATTCAGATATTGTTCCATTTCACTCAAATTTAGTATGTAGGTGTTTTATGCCATTGCGATCCTTTTCTGATGCATCTTTGCGACTATGGGGACAGTTTGGGGGACTTCTGTAATGGTCCCCCATTACAATTACTACTTGTTCTTTAATTACGTATTAATTTTATTTTTGTATTATCATTTAATTGATAACAATGTTTTAATTTTCAACAGGTTTTAATCAATCGAGGACTTTTGTACTTTGAGAGAATGGATTACACAAATGCTCTATACGATTTCAAAATGGCTGCCAAACTGAAAACATCGGACCAGAGGATTCTCCATACACTTGGTCTTTGTTATCACAAGTAAGTGAAAGCAGTTCAATCTGCTACACTTAAAAGGGTCCCCGTACCACTGGTCCCCGTACCACTGATCCCCGTACCACTGGTCCCCGTACCACTGATCCCGTACCACTGATCCCCGTACCACTGATCCCGTACCACTGGTCCTTGTACCACTGATCCCCGTACCACTGGTCCCCGTACCACTGATCCCGTACCACTGATCCCCGGACCACTGGTCCCCGTACCACTGATCCCCGTACCACTGGTCCCCGTACCTGTACCACTGGTCCCCGTACCACTGGTCCCCGTAGCCCTGATCCCCGTACCACTGGTCCCCGTACCACTGATCCCCGTACCCCTGGTCCCCGTGCCACTGATCCCGTACCACTGGTCCCTGTACCACTGATCCCCGTACCACTGATCCCGTAACACTGGTCCTTGTACCACTGATCCCGTACCACTGATCCCGTACCACTGGTCCCCGTACCACTGATCCCCGTACCACTGATCCTGTACCACTGGTCCCCGTACCACTGATCCCCGTACCACTAGTCCCCGTACCACTGATCCCGTACCACTGATCCCCGTACCACTGGTCCCCGTACCACTGGTCCCCGTAGCCCTGATCCCCGTACCCCTGGTCCCCGTACCACTGATCCCCGTACCCCTGATCCTGTACCACTGGTCCCCGTACCACTGATCCCCGGACCACTAGTCCCCGTACCACTGATCCCGTACCCCTGATCCCCGTACCACTGGTCCCCGTACCACTGATCCCCGTACCAGTAGTCCCCGTACCACTGATCCCGTACCACTGATCCCCGAACCACTGGTCCCCGTACCACTGATCCCCGTACCACTATCCCCCGTACCACTGATCCCGTACCACTGATCCCCGTCCCACTGGTCCCCGTACCACTGATCCCGTACCACTGATCCCCGAACCACTGGTCCCCGTACCACTGATCCCGTACCACTGTTCCCCGTACCATTGATCCTGTACCCCTGATCCCGTACCACTGGTCCCCGTACCACTGGTCCCTGTACCCCTGATCCCCGTACCACTGGTCCCCGTACTACTGATCCCCGAACCACTGGTCCCCGTACCACTGATCCCCGTACCAGTAGTCCCCGTACCACTGATCCCGTACCACTGATCCCCGTCCCACTGGTCCCCGTACCACTGATCCCGTACCACTGGTCCCCGTACCATTGATCCTGTACCACTGATCCCGTACCACTGGTCCCCGTACCACTGGTCCCTGTACCACTGATCCCCGTACCACTGGTCCCCGTACCACTGGTCCCCGTACCACTGGTCCCCATACCACTGATCCTGTACCACTGATCCCGTACCACTGGTCCCCGTACCACTGATCCCGTACCACTGATCCCGTACCACTGGTCCCCGTAGCCCTGATCCCCGTACCATTGGTCCCCGTACCACTGATCCCCGTACCACTGGTCCCCGTACCCCTGATCCCCATACCAGGGCCTGTATTGCTCACCTGGATAATAATACAACATTGAAATATAAATCTTATTACATAAAAGTTCTTCAATGGTACAGAAGAAGAATTTTTAAGATTTAAACCTCAAATTCCCCAACTTTAGTCCCCTTTTTAATTTGCCCAAGGGTGTTTCAGGCCAAATTTGGATGAAATCCATCCAATGGTACAGAGGAAGCAGGACTTTGAACACTTAATCCTTGAATTCCCCTTTTGGGCCCCACCCCTCTGCACCCAGGGGGGCAACACCCTCTGTTTATACAAAATTTAGTCCCGTTTGACAAAGAATATGCAGGCTTAATTTGGATAAAATCCCTCCCATGGTAGAGAAGGAGAAGGATTTGAAAGATTTGAACCTCAAATTCCCCTTTTAAGCCCCACCCCACCCTTCTGCACCCAAATGGGCCAAACCTGCTGTTAACACATAATTGAGTCATCTTGGCCCAAGGATGCTCCAGACCAAATTAGGATAAAATCCCTTTATCCCTATGGTAGAAAAAGGATTTCAAAGGTTTTACCTTTATTTCCCCTATTGGGTCCAGCCCCTCTCCCTCAATGGGGTCCAAACTCACCGTTCATACAAAATCGAGTCCCCTTGGCCCAAGGATGCTCCAGACAAAATTGGGATGAAATCCCTCAATCCCAATGGTAGTAGAAGGATTTTAAAGGTTTTACCTCTATTTCCCCTATTGGACTTTGCCCATCTAGATCTGCCCCCAGGTGGGCTACACCCACTGTTTATACAAAACTGAGTCCCCTTTGCCCAAGGATGCTCCAGACCAAATCCCTTAATCCCTATGGTAGAAGAAGGATTTTGAAGGTTTTACCTATATTTCCCCTATTCTGACCCAAGGGGAGCCACACCCACTGCTTATACAAAATCAAGTCCCCGTGGCCCAAGAATGCTCCAGACTAAATTGGGATAAAATCCCTTTATCCCTATGGTAGAAGAAGGAATTTAAAGGTTTTACCTCTATTTCCCCTATTAGGCCCCACCCCTCTGCCCCAGGGGGGCCACACCTGTCATTATACAAAATTGAGTCCCCTTGGTCCAAGGATACTCTAGACTAAATTTAGTCAAAATCTTTGATTGTTTATACAAACAACAGTTAAAGATTATTGAGCTTGCATGATAATAGCCCATTAAAGCATATTTTGTATCTGAACCAGCTCCATGAAGTCAAGAATAGAGGGTAATAAAACTGGTGGCAGTAGTAGGATATGAACCCATGTCTTCCAAGACGCTGGTGCCTCCATTTGAACTCCATTGTGCTGGTGGACCCTGGCAAATGGAATTATTTATTTTGAATTGCTTAACTGCTTGGGTCTTTTGTGTTATGTTTGTGTACAGGAAATAAAAATAGAGCAGAAAGATACATTAAGAAAGTGATCACTGTTTTTAGCTCACCTGGTCCATAGGGATTAAGGGATTTATTCTAATTTAGTCTGGAGTATTCTTGGGCTAAGGGGACTCAATTTTGTATAAAATGGGGGCTGAGGGGTGGGGCCCAATAGGGGAAATATAGCAAATTCTTTAAAATCCTTCTTCTGTAGGAATGAAAGGATTTGGTCCATATTTGGTCTGAAGTATCCTTTGGTGAAGGGGATCCAATTTTGTATAAACTGTGGGTCTGGCCTCCAGGGGCCTGAGGGGCAGGGCCCAATAGGGGAAACATAGCAAATTATTCATTAAAATCCTTCTTCTGTAAAAAAGAAAGGATTTGTTTTATATTTGGTGTGGAACATCCTTGGGTAAAGGGAAACCAATTTTGTATAACGGTGGGTGTGGCCTTCCTGAGACCTGAGGGGTTGGGCCCAATAGGGGAAATAGAGATAAAACCTTTATAATCCTTCTTCTACCATAGGGATTAAGGGATATTTTATCGTTATTTAGTCTGGAGCATCCTTGGGTCAAGGGGACTCAATTTTGTATAATTGATGGGTATGACCCCCTAGCGGCATATGGGTGGGGCTCTGTTTGAAGTTTGTTCTCGCTATATCTCAAGTACTGGATGGATCTTTCTGAAATTTCATATGACAACACCTACAATGGAGTGCTATATCTTTACTTCATACCAATTATTTTAAACATATTCAGGTAAGCGATACAGGCCCTCTGGGCCTCTTGTTTATAAAGGGTGGGTGTGGCCCCCCTGGAACTTGAGGGGCAAGGGCCCAATAGGGGAAATAGAGATAAAACATTTATGATCCTTCTTCTACCATAGGGATTACAGGTTTTTATCCTAATTTGGTCTGGAGTATCCTTGGGGGAAAAGGGACTCAATTTCGTATAAACAGCGAGTGCCCCCCCCCCCCCCCCCCCCCCCCCCCCCCCTGGGGGCAGAAGGGAGTGGCCAATAGTGGAAAAATAGCAAATTCTTCAAAATCCTTCATCTTTGTCCAAATTTGGTATGAAGCATCTTTGGGTGAAGGGCAAGCAATTTTGTATAAACGGTTTGTCTGACCCCCTGGAGGCAGAGAGGTGGGGCCCAATAGGGGAAGTAGAGGTAAAACCTTTAAAGTCCTTATTCCACCATAGGGATTAAAGGATTTTATCCTTATTTAGTCCGTCGAACATATTCTATGGTGCGTGTTAGTGCTCCATAAAGAATATGTTCGTTGCCAACTGTGTTCATACTACCATATACGCTGTCAAAATGAAGGTCAATCCTTATATTTACATTAAACAAATGTTCAAATGCTACATTATGCAGGAAAAAAAGTCAAAGCGGGTTGCCAACGATGTTCACTGTGGTAGCCGTGGTTGCTAGGACAATATAGTTCCAGTGAATCTACATCGATATATGAGTAAATTTAGAAAATACGCAGTGGACAACATAACTTGTTTCCTTTCATGGTTTTTAAATTTTAAATTAAGCAATGGCAGTCGTCATGTACGCGCATTGACACACTGCTCATGGAGTGATACGATCGAATGTTTCAGAACAAAGCCGCCATTGTTGACATTACCGTCAAAGAAATTTGAATGTGCATCCATGGAATAAGAAGTTTGTCAGCATTCTTTTGTTGTAATTAGACATAATAGATCCCGAATATGTTCTTGTATCAACCAAGCATTGGTTGTCATTTGACTGTTATCTTGCTGAAGCATGAGCGGCGCCATATTTGAAACAAGTATCAATTTGCTGTACCTTTTTTCCACTGCATTTACGCTAATTTATAAGCAGTCAGGCTTTGCTAAGCTAAAGAAGGGAGACATGTAAATATTATAGGATGAACCTCACACTGACCACAAACTGACCACTTGCCTTTGATTTATATAGGATGTACCTCACACTGGTCACAAACTGACCTTTTGCCTTTGATTTATATAGGATGTACCTCACACTGGTCACAAACTGACCTTTTGCCTTTGATTTATATAGGATGTACCTCACACTAGTCACAAACTGACCACTTGCCTTTGATTTATATAGGATGAACCTCACACTGACCACTTGCCTTTGATCTATATACGATGTACCTCACACTGACCACAAACTGACCTTTTGCGTTTGATTTATATAGGATGTACCTCACACTGACCACTTGCCTTAGATCTATATAGGATGTACCTCACACTGACCACACACTGACCACTTGCCTTTGATTTATATAGGATGTACCTCACACTAGTCACAAACTGACCACTTGCCTTTGATTTATATAGGATGAACCTCACACTGACCCCTTGCCTTTGATCTATATAGGATGTACCTCACACTGACCACAAACTGACCTTTTGCCTTTGATTTATATAGGATGTACCTCACACTGACCACTTGCCTTTGATCTATATAGGATGTACCTCACACTGACCACACACTGACCACTTGCCTTTGATTTATATAGGATGTACCTCACACTGGTCACAAACTGACCTTTTGCCTTTGATTTATATAGGATGTACCTCACACTGGTCACAAACTGACCTTTTGCCTTTGATTTATATAGGATGTACCTCACACCGGTCACAACCTGACCTTTTGCCTTTGATTTATATAGGATGTCCCTCACACTGACCACAAACTGACCACTTGCCTTTGATTTATATAGGATGAACCAATTAAAGGGAGCTCTGGCAGTGTTTACATCCTGTATAGAGAAGAACCCCGCCTTCCTCGACGGAATCATCGCCCGTGGCAATGTATACATGGACTGTGGTGGGGATGGTCTACGCTATGCTAGGTACAATTGGAGGGACTACATAGTATATACTGTCTTATGAAGTTAAAGTGACACAAAGTTTTAAAGTTTACTTTTTCCATCTCTGGTAATGAAGCCATTCTTAGACATGCTGAACACTAGATTAAGTCACGCACAAACCTGGGTTTTGAATATAATTTAAGGATCCAGAGCAACTTTATGTTCTGTAAGGTGTTTTTGAAATAAGCTTCGACATGTTTGTATAGAAATCTGATAGAGATGGAATTGGGGTAAGATTGTACACGTATCGATTGAATTAAACAAATAAATAAATAACATCAAATGTATTGATATAATATTGATGTGTTACAGACGTGACTATGAGCGTGCCCTGTTGAGGGACCCACTGTGTTTGCCAGCTCGAGTGAACCTAGCCTACACTCTGCAGGTGTCTGGCAAGTTCATGCAGGCCTGGACACAGTTCACCACTGCTATAGCCATACGCCCAAGTAAGTACACATGCCCAGGTTTGTACAAGTATAGCTATATACCTAAGCATAAGAGAGCAGCTTTGGTTGAGTTAGTACACTTAGTCATACACTGAGTAATGTGTGACCATAAATAAAGACAAATCAATGCACATTCCTTGCCCTAAGTGGCCAACTTAACTGTAAAATGTCCATGTTACAATGTTTCAAATATGAAACAAGACACTATGAAAACTCTCAGAACCAAGCTTGTATATACTCTCAGAACTAAATCAGCCTACCACAAACAGATTTTAAGGTCCTGTATTATTTTTTATGTCCCTGCCATAAAAGGGGGGGGGGGATGCATATAATGTTGCCCATGTCTGTCCCTACCAATTCAATGTAAACACTCTAGCAACTTATCTTTTGATGGAATTTTACCTCTGACATCTCTGTGTAATAGGGTTCTAAGGTCAAGGTCACTGTTGCTGTATATAGAAAATCATCAACTGATTCATTGTCCTCATTATAGCTACTTCATTTCTGAACAAATTTTTGTCAAAGTTTATACAGATTTTAAGTATGAGAACACCTTGGGAGGAGTTTACGTTTCAGAATTCCAAGGTCAAGGCCAAGGTCACCATTAGTGTTTATAAAAAATCATTGACTGATTCAGTGTCATTAGTCTACCAACTTTATTTGCTGATAGATTTTGATCAAAATTTATACAAAGGTCAGGTATACCTCAGACTCTTTTGTGTTTTTGGGTTCAAAGTTCAAGGCTAAGGTCACTGTTGTTATTTATAGAAAGTCATGACATAAATATCAGAAGATTCAGTGTCATCACTCTAGCTACTTTATATCTATACATATATTTGATCAAAGTTCATACAGATTTCAGGTATGTGATACCTCGGATGAGTTTATGTTTCACAGGTCACTACATGCTTTCATAGAAAGGTTTCTCTATATATCTCTGTCTATCATCCTGAAGTATGATAATACCTTGAATGCTGCATATTTCAGGGTGTCAAGATCAAAGTCATTGTACCTATTTTAAGAATATATTCAAACACTGAAATTACTGTCACATGGCTGCAGGGACTTACAGATATTTCCTAGTTTTCTTAGGAATTCCTTTATACTTTTCCACCAATTTAGCACAAAAACCCTTTATACTGTCAAAGTTTTCTCTGGAAAAAATGTGGCAGTGTAATAAAGTCCTTCTGTACTGCAAAAGCTGAAAAATTCAAATTAATTTACTTTAATCTGCAAACTTTTCTGTTAAAAATATAGTCTAATAAGAAAAAGCAATGTTTGGTTGCTGTATATACAGTGGTCTCTATATACTTGTGTGGTGTAGTCAACACAAACTACTTGTATATACAATGGTCACCAGTACTTGTGTGGTGTAGTCAACACAAACTACAGGTATATACAGTGGTCTCTATATACTTGTGTGTTGTAGTCAACACAAACTACATGTATATACAGTGGTCTCTATATACTTGTGTGTTGTAGTCAACACAAACTTCATGTATATACAGTGGTCACCAGTACTTGTGTGTTGTAGTCAACACAAACTACATCTATATACAGTGGTTTCTATATACTTGTGTGGTGTAGTCAACACAAACTACATGTATATACAGTGGTCTCTATATACTTGTGTGTTGTAGTCAATACAAACTACTTGTATATACAGTGGTCTCTATATACTTGTGTGGTGTAGTCAACACAAACTACATGTACATACAGTGGTCTCTATATACTTGTGTGTTGTAGTCAACACAAACTACTTGTATATACAAATGTACAGTGGTCTCTATATACTTGTGTGTTGTAGTCAACACAAACTACATGTATATACAGTGGTCTCTAAATCCTTGTGTGTTGTTGCAGCCTTCAAGCCAGCCCTGGAAGGTCGGGCCATCATCAATCTACAGATGAGTAACACGTTTGCTGCTTACCAGGACATTAATGCTTCCATCAAAGTGGGTCCCACGGCTGAACTGTACACGAACCGGGGGGTCGTCAACCAGGTACGCCAAAATGACAATTCAAAGCTGTAACTGTGACTATATGAACTGGGGGGTCGTCAACCAGGTACGCCAAAGTGACAATTCAAAGCTGTAACTGTGACTATATGAACCGGGGGGGTCGTCAACCAGGTACGCCAAAATGACACTGCATCAATTCAAAGCTGTAACTGTGACTATATGAACCGGGGGGTTGTCAACCAGGTACGTCAAAATGACAATTCAAAGCTGTAATTGTGACTATATGAACTGGGGGGGGGTCGTCAACCAGGTACGCCAAAATGACACTGCATCAATTCAAATCTGTAACTGTGACTATATGAACCGAGGGGGTCGTCGACCAGGTACGCCAAAATGACACTGCATCAATTCAAAGCTGTAACTGTGACTATATGAACCAGGGGGTCGTCAACCAGGTACGCCAAAATGACAATTTAAAGCTGTAATTGTGACTATATGAACCGGGGGGTCGTCAACCAGGCACGCCAAAATGACAATTCAAAGCTGTAACTGTGACTATATGAACCGAGGGGGTCGTCAACCAGGTACGCCAAAATGACACTGCATCAATTCAAAGCTGTAACTGTGACTATATGAACTAGGGGGTTGTCAACCAGGTACGTCAAAATGACACGGCATCAATTCAAAGCTGTAACTGTGACTATATGCTTATTTTTAATTTTTTTAATTTGATAGCAATATGAAACAAGTTGTATTTCTTATATTAATCATTACTGTTTGCCTGGATGTGGAAGGAAACCGGAGTACCAGGAGAAAACCCCTGTGGTCAAGCAGATGAATATATGCAAGAAGGAAAATATGTATCGTGCAAAATATAACTACAAGTATATTCTGCAGTATGTGTGTTAGATTTGTATTGGTTGTTTATTCCACTTCATGGTGGCACGATCATGTAACTCACCGTGTTTTGATGTTTTGATCTGCTATAAATGATTGTGTGTGATCTTATTTGGCTGTATGATTGGTTATCAAAGAGTGATTGACTGTGTTGGGGATATTGGAGATTTTGATTGGCATTGGTACATTTTACGAATGACCACATAGCTATTTGTGTGAAATTTGATTGGTTATAAAACATCAGGTGACTGTGCAAGATTTGAATTGGCTGTTACAGTTTATGAAGGATCATGTGAACGCTATGAGGGACTACCAGGCAGCGATACAGATGGACCCTACATATGCTCTGGCCTACTTTAACGCAGCCAATGTCTACTTCCATACACGACACTTCAGACAGGTAAGCTCCCCACTGTATACTGCAGCCACATGATCAGTACTTTGTTACTCCCAACTCATCAATACATTCTCAACGGTTCAAAGGTAGGCTCAACACCTATGGAGATTCAACACTAGCGTCGGCCCCCGTTTGGAATTTTTAAAACAAGATAATTACAAAAAGGTATGCGTATAGGAAGCTTAAATCAGGAACCGTTAGTTTCAGATTTCATTTCATGATAAATGGGACCTTATTGACTTACACCTGTGTGGGTGTTAAAGGTGTGGTAACACTATTTCTCCTAGAGCATTTAAATGACACAATTACTATAAAATTATATCATCATCGTGTGCAACATATTCCAACTTATTTTGATATCAAATATTACACTAATTCAAGAAAGAATTGTTCTTTTTATTTAAGATTTAAGCAGAAAAGTATGTGAAATTTCATAACTATAATGCGAAAATTTCCATTTTCGCTACGTTAATTTACATAAAATGTAGTTCTAAAATGAGTCTATTTCTCATACTTGCTTAAAAGTTGGCTGCTAATAATATCTTTCCACATCAGGAATTTCAAGAAAATTGATCACCAGTAAATTTGTTATATAACACTTTTGACTCAAAAAAAAGAAAAACATAGCTTTCTTTCCACTTTTCCTTCAGCTTGTGTTTCTTTGTGACCAAAAGTCCTTGGGTGTTGATATTTGGCAAGTAGGTTGTTCATGTAAATGGATTTAAATTTTGTAAACGTTGATGACCTTGACCTTCGTTTAAGGTCATACAAATCAAATGAGCTGAAATACAAATTTTGTATGGGAAGTCAGACAAGGATACCTTTCCTTGCTTTATTTGACTAGAGTTAACAATATAAAATAATGTAATATTCCTCCATGAAGTCTTCCTAGTAGTTAAGGAAGAGTTGTCCAGACAAAGATTTTTAACAAAGAGCCATAACTCCTTAAAAAGGGTCGAAATGAAAAAAGTACTACCCTGATGCACGTACCCTGATGCACGACATCAGGGGATAATTACATATCTGTAAACATTCATTGAAATCGGCCCAGTATTTTATGAGGCATACAAGGTTCTTTTTCTACAAAAGGCCCATAACTCCTTTTTAAAGGTTCGGAATGAAAACATACTATTTGGATGCACAATGTCTGGCTCCATGTAGTTTTGGAGACTCTGTCAGGACAAGTTTTTTTCAACAAAGGGCCATTACTTTGTAAAAAAGGGTCAGATTGAACAAAGAATTCCTGGATGCACACCATCAGATGGTTGTTACCATATCTGAAAACATTCGTTGAAATTGACCCCTTAGTTTTGGAGGACATGTCCGGACAAGGATGTTTCAACAAAGGGCCATAACTTTGAAAACAAAGGATCACAATGAAAAAATAATACCTGGATGCATAACTTGAGTTGGTAGTTATTATATCTGGAAACTTCCGCTGAAATTGGTCCATTACTTTAGAAGGAGTTGTCCAGACAATCTTTTTCTACGGACGGACAGAAGGACGGAAAAGCAGATTCCAGTATAACCCACTAACTTTGTTGCAGGGGGTATAATAAAGTGTATAATAGTTTTACTATTAAGATTATTTTATTGTTTTTATATAATCGCATATCTTTGTCTACAACACAATCTCAACCTTAAGTAGTTCTCCACAGGAAAAATTACTTTGGCAGGATACATATTCATGAGTTATTACTGCTGCACATAACTTTAAAACATGCATAATATAATAAAGTGTTTTGGTACGATACAAAAACAGAAAATGTATCGGTATTTACCATAATAAACATTGATAATCAAATCTTCCAAGATTATGTCAAATTGGGTATTGATCATGTTTGGCATGTTAATGTTAAGTACTTTACCGGTGTCTTGTATAAAATGTACCTCCTACTTAAATAGTATCCAGATACTTTATATTCCCCTACCAAAAAGTACCCCCCCTACTTTTTATGCATGACACCTGTTTTATATTACATAAAAATGATTCAGTAGACAGAATACACCTATGGAAAGTTTTAAAAGAAGTTTAAAATATAGACTAGCACTGTAACTATATATATAGGCAAGTTGACAATGTTGATTATATTTTGAATTTTGTGAAAATTTTGCATGTTTTTCTAATTCAAAGTATCACTACGCTTACTTCATGTACTTACTGTATGACATATTTAGTATCAAAATAACAGTAATTTTCTACACTGTACACTAACATGATTCATTTCAAAATAACATTAGCCTGTGACATGTATCTGTCATTTTGTTAGGATTATCCGTCACTCAACCTGGTGTTATACAAGGAGGTCCACTACGGTTATCAGTAGTAATTATGAATAATCATTTATGCAGTTATTGATCATTTTTATGTATCTACATATGGTAAAAGAATAAAAGAAATCAAAGTGGGGGTCAAATGTTGACCCCACCTTGCTACTCTCATTCGCAAACTCATGTGTATTATACATTTGCACAAATCTTTTGATAAACAAGAGGCCCAGCTCACCTGAATATGTTTAAAATAATTGGTATGAAGTAAAGATATAGCACACCATGGTAGGTGCTGTAAGTACATATGAAATTTCAGAAAGATCCATCGAGTACTTGAGGTATAGCGAGAACAAACTTCAAACAGAGCCCCACCCCTATGCCCCTAAGGGGGTTATACCCACCAATTATATGCTCCAGGCTAAATAAGGATAAAATCCCTTAATCACGATGTTCGAAGAAGGATTTTAAAGGTTTTACCTCTATTTCTCCTATTGGGCCCCGCCCTTCTGCCCCCTGGGAGACCACACCCACTGTTTATACAAAATTGAGTCCCCGTTGCCCAAGAATGCTCCAGACTAAATTAGGATAAAATCCCTTAATCCCTATGGTAGAAGAAGGATTTTAAATTTTTTCCTCTATTTCCCCTATTGGGCCCCGCCTCTCTGCCTCCAGGGGGGGTTCAGACCCACCATTTATACAAAATTGGTACCCCTTCACCCAAGAATGCTTCAGACCGAATATGGACCAAATCCTTTCCTTTACAGAAAAAGAAGGATTTTAAAGAATTTGCTATATTTTCCCTATTGAGCCCCACACCTCAGCCCCAGGGGGGCCAGACCCACCATTTATACAAAATGTGTTCCCCTTCCACCAAGGATGCTTCTGACTAAATATGGAACAAATCCTTTCATTCCTACAGAAGAAGAAGGATTTTAAAGAATTTGCTATATTTCCCCTATTAGGCCCCGCTCCTCATGCCCCCACGGGGGCCAGACGCACCATTTACAAAATTTGTTCCCCTTCCCCCAAGGATGCTTCTGACCAAATTTGGTCAAATTCTGCTCAGTTGTACATGACTAGTAGCGTTTTAAAGGAAAAGTTGACAGACAGACAGACGACGGACTGCGGTATGGCATAAGCTCACCAGGTGAGCTATAAAGGATCTATAGGTACATAATTACTGATTTCAGTGTATAACAGTGATAACCTTAAAAGGATTCTTCCTGAAATTATTGAAGTTCTGATTCAACATGGTAAGACCAGAAATCCTGATATGCTGTAGAACTGTGATGTCTGATGTAACATCCCCACATTTGTATTTAAGGCTCACGACTACTATACCAAGGCTATTCTGAACAACCCCAAGGATGAATCTGCCTTCCTCAACCGTGCCATCACGAAGGTAAGTCATAGGTTACAGGTATGCTGGAAAATCAAATACAATGTTTTAAAAATCTTCTTATTCAGAACTGTAATAGTGAAATTATGAGAAGTTCTTTTTACACAACCAATAACATTTTCTATGTGACGTTTCAATGACTAGTACGATATGTAGCGTGTATGCACACAAAGGTATGTACACCTTTGTGTGCATACGCTTCATTGGTCATTTGTCTGATGAAGGTGACAGTGTACATATCGTACTAGTCATCGAAGCGTCACATAGAAAATGTTATTGGTTGTGTAAAAAGAACTTCTCATAATCAAAACTTACCAACCTGAAGAAAATGTTGAAAAATGTAATAGTGAGATTTTCTTATATCCTGTAATCACAATTGCAAAGGAGAACAACACATTTGGTATTTTTTTATTATGTTGATTGACTCACTTGTTTTATAAAGAAAACAATATCTTTGTTACCAGTGGTATTATCTATTTTTGTATAACCATGATATTTGTTGATATTAAACATGAAAGTGGTCAAGAGATGGAAACGTCTATTAACAGACCGAAACCAGGTAAAAAGTGACACTGTACATATTTATTAGTGTTCTGACATTCCAATGCAACAGCCCACAGTAAGATATTTGCACAATAATAGCTAAGCACACTGTCTCTTCATGAATTGATAACAAAATCAGTGAAGCATGCTTCAGATTTGGTGCAAAACAAAAACAAAATGCAAAATAAAAAGTAAGATAACTTGAATTTTATAGGTGATGCTACGGAATGCTGAGGGTGCACTGTCTGACTTTGGTGAAGCCCTGAAACTGAGTCCTCACACAGCCCACATGTATTTCAATCGTGGTAACCTGTACTCTTCTCTGGGTCAATATGATACGGCCGAGGCAGACTACAGTAAATGTAAGTAGACCAACTTCCCCGTTCTCCACCACTAACAAGCAAAAGCAACAATTACAATATTATGTTGTGATGCAATAAGAAAGAAAAAGATGTATTTAATTTGCAAAATGTAATGAATATATATCAGATAGTAAGAAATTGTTTTCCAGAGAACAATTATTAAGCAGATTTAATTGAAATGTAATAAATTTGTAGCTTTGTAAAAGCAAAATTCAGTGTTCTTCAAAAGGATCATTTGAAATTGTCTGCCTTTTCTGTTGAAAATCTTAGCCTAATGTAGTGTAGTGCTATCCTATTGAAAAGCAGAATTTCTGTTTTAGCCGTGTGTTGTGTTGTAACCTAGACTGAGGAGCATTAATCTGTTATGTTTTAATTAGCCCTCAGTCTGAAGCCAGATGACGCACTGGTGTTGAAGAGAAGAGCAGATGTGTTGGGAAAACTTGGAAGGAAAGGGGAGGCTATAGAGGATTACAGACTGGCTGTGGAAATACAGAGTCGCAGGAAGTCCTAGTGGCTGTGGAGATACAGAGTCGCAGGAAGTCCTAGTGGCTGTGGAGATACAGAGTCGCAGGAAGTCCTAGTGGCTGTGGAGATACAGAGTCGCAGGAAGTCCTAGTGGCTGTGGAGATACAGAGTCGCAGGAAGTCCTAGTGGCTGTGGAGATACAGAGTCGCAGGAAGTCCTAGTGGCTGTGGAGATACAGAGTCGCAGGAAGTCCTAGTGGCTGTGGAGATACAGAGTCGCAGGAAGTCCTAGTGGCTGTGGAGATACAGAGTCGCAGGAAGTCCTAGTGGCTGTGGAGATACAGAGTCGCAGGAAGTCCTAGTGGCTGTGGAGATACAGAGTCGCAGGAAGTCCTAGTGGCTGTGGAGATACAGAGTCGCAGGAAGTCCTAGTGGCTGTGGAGATACAGAGTCGCAGGAAGTCCTAGTGGCTGTGGAGATACAGAGTCGCAGGAAGTCCTAGTGGCTGTGGAGATACAGAGTCGCAGGAAGTCCTAGTGGCTGTGGAGATACAGAGTCACAGGAAGTCCTAGTGGCTGTGGAGATACAGAGTCGCAGGAAGTCCTAGTGGCTGTGGAGATACAGAGTCATTATTAAGGCAATGCAGACACAAGGTCTCGTTAAGTGTCAGTGGGGATTACTTGGAGGTCCAGAACACAGGAACTTGTTGTAGTTCTGAAATTGAGGAATGCGTAATACCAAGTTCCATGAGTACAGGGATTTTGTCTCCAACTTCAACCATACAAAGTTAATTTTCTGTCCAGTAACAGTTTGTTTCCATATATTTTAGCTCCTGGACAATTAGCATGGACAATAAGAAATGGTTTTGAATTTCTGTTGCAGCTACAATGAAGTGAATTTGCGATCTAAATACCAAGTTTAGCCCTGACTTTGATATGACCTACAAGCAGGTTATGGTGTGTGTTTTATGAATTTCAGTATTTTTAACCAATTCAGCCTTTAAGTCACATTTAAAGCTTACCAAATCAAAGACTGGGCAAGCCAATTTTGAAAATGTAGGGGTGCAAGAGATGATATTAGCAAAGATATATGTGTATCAGTGCTGTTTATGTAGGCGTGGAATAGAATAAATGTCTTATACTAAGTACTGTTGGGTGCCAAACAGTTCCTCCTACAGTTTCATGTTTGTAGTCTAGTCTTTTTAGCTCACCTGGTCCGAAGGACCATGGTGAGCTTATGCCTTACAGCAGCGGCCGTCCGTCCATCAACTTTTCCTTTAAAACGCTACTTGTCCTGAACGGCCCTGTAGATTTTAACTAAATTTGGCCTGGAGCATCTTTAGGCCAAGGGTTCTCAATTTGGTATAAACTGTGGGTGTGGCCCCCCCTGGGGTCAGAGAGGTGTGGCCCCCCTTGGGTCAGAGAGGTGTGGGCCCCCCTGGGGTCAGAGAGGTATGGCCCCCCCCC